ATTGTATATCACGGCTTGCCACTCCCTACAGCGACGGGAAGGTGGCGCATTAACCACTGACCTGCAGGGTATATGGTAGTGAGCCCTGCACCGAGCTTGTTGGAACCTGGCGTTGTCTCTTTGGACTGGAGAAGTTAAATAATTTATTTATGGAATTACTATTTTGGAAAGAAATTACGAAAAAATACACAATTCAAGATAAGCCTGCTCTGTACCAATATTTCCTAAAATTTTAACTACTCCAGGTGAAATGGTGACACAACTCAGATGGACGTTGACATCTATCACTGATTGGCAGTGTAGGAAGTCCTTTTGGACTTCAAGGGGGTTGAGTCAAAATTCGGAAACTCAATTCTAACCCCCGAGCTTCACGGGTCCGACTCTAACTGATGCTAAATCACAGACCCAGAGGTCTGATCAAAACAGTCGCTTCACAGCCTAAACCTATAGATAATACATCTCTCTCAGCCAACGTTCATCTATACATGACTGTGTGTATGTATACGAATTGAAACATGCAGAAACATATTATTACGGTATTCAAGATAAGTGTCAAAATACATTTCCGGGAGATATCACAATAAATTATTACTGAAATGAGTAATCTGATTATTCCCTTTAATCTTGCGAATCCTAGTAGCGTATTGATAGATTATATTTTCTGTTTTAACAGAGATGTGTTATGCTTGTGGAAGAGTTTTGGGGTTTGGGGTTTTGTCACTTGAAATAATGTGGAGTTACTTATCATGGTAGAATGGAAATATACATACCGTTTAAGATGGAATTAGAACTGGTCTTCAGTAACCCATGCTTGTCGTAAAAGGCGACTGAAGGGATTGGGTGGTCAGGCTCGCTGACTTAGTCGACACGTGTCATCGGTTCCGTAGATCGATCCTCATCGTGTTGATCACTGGATTGTCTGGTCCAGATTCGATTATTTACAGACCGCCGCCATATAGCTGGAATATTGCCGAGTGCGGCGTAAAACTAAACGCACTCACTGTGTGTATTGAGGAGTCCAGTATTGGTACGTGTCTCTACATTGCCTGTATCCAACTATAGTGTTACTCCACACATACCCGTCAAGCCCCTGACTCAGGGGGTGCTGAAACTGTGTAGTATAATGTGCACAAGAATATAATGATGACTGTGTGTCCTTTATACTGTCGAACAGTCCTCCATATAATTACACCAGTTGTAATACACCCTCTCTCAAGTGTACACACATCACCCCGTGTAGAGGTGTGGGTACAACTTCATTGCGATTGGTTACCCGTGAATGCCCGGGTTGGAATGTGCCTTCACTAACCCATGCTTGTCGTAAGAGGGACTAACGGGATCAGGTGGTCAGGCTCGCTGACTTGGTTAACTGACACATGTCATCATATCCCAATTGCGTAGACTGATGCTCATGATGTTGGTCACTGGATTGTCTGGTACAGACTATTATTTACAGACCGCCTCCACATAGTTCGAATATTGTTGTGTGGCGTAAAACTAAACTCACTCACTCATAGTGATTGCTGCTTTATGACGTAACCCACATTGTACACGACCACGTGGTCTCGGAGTGAGTTTGGCATTGAGACTGCTTCATTAAGCCAAGCTCCCAACTCTGATATGTTTTGTGTGCTTCTCGTATGTTACAGCACCCCATGACGTAACTAACCCATCAACATTCACCGAGTATAATTATTGAGTGTAATGACCTTTTGTTGGCTTATATACATGCAGTATGTGATACAGTTCGAACATTCCAATAGGGTTAGTTTCAGTAAGATGGTTACAGATTTGTGTCAAACATGTAGAACATATATGCATGTGTGTGCGTGTCTTTTTAGCACAAGAGTACACATTACAGAAGAGTGAGTGGGTGATGTTTGACGCCGCTTCTAGCAATATTACAGCAAGATCATGGCGGGGAACACCAGAAATAGGCTTCATACACTGTACCCATGAGGTCAATCGAACCCAGGTCTTTGGTGTGACGAGCGAACGCTTTAACCACTAGGCTACCCCCTGAGTGAGTGTGCACAGGTCTGCTTAAAGGCTGCACTTGATTATTCCCTTTGTCTTCTGGTGAACATAACTATAGGTTAGAGTTAAGTTATCGGGTTATGCAGTGTTTTCAGTTACTTTCTCTACTAATGAAATTTATTGGAAAATCATTCAACTTGTAACATTTATCGTGTTGGCTATTAGTTCTCATACTCTAATCGTTTATCCACAGCTGTATATAAAAACATCGTGTTTTGTATAGATTTAGTGTGTGATTAGTGTGGCGGTCTGGCAATAGGTAAACCGCCCGTTGTTCTGTGTTTTCTGGTAGCGACAGTCGGTGGGTGTGGTCATACTGCCGTGGTGCCACCAACAGGGTGGAAATGGTCTGATTGTTGGTAACCCGTGCCATTTTAAGAGCATGTCGAACTCGGTTAAGGAAGAATCGAGAGGCGTCCAGTACCATTGGTTACGGAAATATGTGATTGGTGAGAAATGTCGTCTTTAGGCTAGAGGAAAGTACCAGTGGATACAGAGGCAGTATTGTTTCGGAATGATGCTTATTCTGACCAATAGGTGGGTTGAGGATTGTGCAGAATCATAAATACATCTTTGTAATGAGCCAGTGAAGGGACTGAGTGAGTCTGTACAGTGCTTCAGTAACACCACGGTGTCTGGTTAACGTGGGAGCAACACCCGGTGTGAAGCAGACGCGGGAGTTTACAGCTTTGGTGGCTACACACTGAGAACCAAGGTGGCAGCCAATCTGGTATTTAACCCACCGTGTATTCATAGGTGTCAGGTAGGCTAAAGGGGCGTAACTCTGTCAACCAAACTGCCTGCCGCAAACGGCTGGGCCACCCGTACAGACAGTGCCGATGGTGTATCCCCGTCGCCCTGTGGTCTCGTGGAGGACAAGTCAGTTTCCTCTTCAAATATCATACACGTAACGAAATAAGTAGGGCTGTGTATTGGCAAATAAATTTAATTGCAAAATATTGCGACTGATGTGCCCGTATAAACTGACAAATAGTCTCTGAAATGAACATACTTTACAGAAAAAAACAGTTCATAATAAAACAAAACATAATAAAGAAAATTAGCCCCGAGACTTTGGAAATCTAGACTTGCATGGGCTTTCTTGGCTATGTTTGTTTCAGGGTCTGTATGACAGACTAGTGCCCGTATTGCGATTCGTGTTGTGATATACATGTATTTGGAACTTGAGTAGTTGACAGTGATTGATACTAATTGTGTATATCAATCCTATCAATGGTTCTGATAAAAGCGATCTCAAAATAAGATAGCAGAGTCTTGGATTCTGTTTTCTCTTTTTATACACTTTATAGCATTACAGTATACACTATACGCTCTATAGTATTACAGTATACACTCTATAGTATTACAGTATACACTCTATAGTATTACAGTATACGCTCTATAGTATTACAGTATACACTCTATAGTATTACAGTATACGCTCTATAGTATTACAGTATACGCTCTATAGTATTACAGTATACACTCTATAGTATTACAGTATACAGTATACGCTCTATAGTATTACAGTATACGCTCTATAGTATTACAGTATACACTCTATAGTATTACAGTATACGCTCTATAGTATTACAGTATACACTCTATAGTATTACAGTATACGCTCTATAGTATTACAGTATACGCTCTATAGTATTACAGTATACGCTACACTCTATAGTATTACAGTATACACTCCTATAGTATTATAGTATACGCTCTATAGTATTACAGTATACGCTCTATAGTATTACAGTATACAGCTCTATAGTATTACAGTATACACTCTATAGTATTACAGTATACGCTCTATAGTATTACAGTATAGCGCTCTATAGTGACAATTACAGTATACACTCTATAGTCGTATTACAGTATACACTCTATAGTATTACAGTATACGCTCTATAGTATTACAGTATACACTCTATAGTATTGCAGTATACACTCTATAGTATTACAGTATACACTCTATAGCTTTTCAGTATACACTCTATAGTATTACAGTATACGTTCTATAGTATTACAGTATACACTCTATAGTATTGCAGTATACACTCTATAGTAATACAACACGCCGTTTTGTCGTTGAATAACGAAGGAAAAGATTTGTTGTGAATATGAATGAAAGTCTGTGTAGATTTTAATTTAAATCAGAAAGATAATCGCAAAAACGTCATATGTGTTCTTTATCCAATATACCGGTTTTCGGGAAAATGACTGCAATACGTATCGTTGAAAAGCGTATTGCGATATATCGGTTTACCGGTAATACCGTGCAGCCCTAGAAATAAGCTGGAATAGTACCCGTAGTACCAACTAGTAGTCACGTGACCAGCCACTAGTCCAATCACAAGTCAGTGAAGTCTAAACTTCACAAGCGACAAGTTATTCAGTAAAGCGACCAACAGCTGATGTTGATAGAGTTGCATATATATTGTAAATGCTAACGATGGAATCAAGGCATGGCAAACTAGAGCTCGATAGCACGATGAACAATCCACGCTATGGGGGTGCGATGTCGCACATTGTTAACAACCGTCTCCCGACTGGTCGACTCCTGTGTACAGTAGTACCGGTGACGTCATACCACGTTGTGGACGGTTTGGTCTGTGAAGAGATTTACTTGTTCCGATACTAGCTTCGTTTGGCAAATGTGTCTTAATGGATCATAGTGATTAATCTCGTTCTACGATGCACTGTTGTTTTCACACACCCACGTAAATAGTTTAATACGGGTGGTTGAGCTTTCTTTTTCGGAAACAGTTTGGCACGATGTTTAGCTAGCAAAGTGACGCGACAGGATTGTTAATCGGATTACATTTCTTTCAAATCTACGCGTTTTACTAAGAAAACGGCTCGGTTGTCAGATTATGTCTGAAGCGGAGCTCCGTATGGCAGGTCCCGCTAACTGAATCTATCAGCCAATCAGATTGGAGAAGTGTTGACCCCGTGACCTCAAGTATTACTCATGCAAATGGCGACTTCTCGTAGGCATTCATCTATGGACGGTTCGTGAAGACGACTGCGGGCTGATTCTCTTGCTTCGTCTGGTCTATTTTCATACCATATTTTCTTGGATTGTACATTTGTGTGTCTCATGTGATCAACATGGTTTCTCTCTGCCGGATTATATCGTTGTTGTGTGTCGGCGTGTGTGTGATAGCCTGTGCGCTTGCCTCAGCACCAACTCATAGACATCAGGGAAAAGAATGTGGACGGGTTCAACGCGAATTTTCACACAAAAAAATAGGCTCACATAATCTTGTACCCGATAACAAAGTACATGGTAAGTATGCAGAACAGTAACAAAAATCGCTACTATTCATTTTGTACCGCGAGACGAGCGTTCTATATTTGAGTTTCATTGCTTTTGTGAATGTGGCGATAGCGAAACCTCTTTTCTTTTTTGTCTCGCACAACATGCCGTAATACCAACGTGGAAAGGCTTGAGTTTCTTACGCACTAAATGGCCTAGATATTGCGTGATTTCAGATCATGAACGGTATTTGACTCAACCAAGTAACATCTATAGTTGAAACGTATTTTTGGTTTCAATATGTGGAAGAAATATCACTCGTTATCGTGAGTTTGACAGCTTTAAGACCGACATATGCTGGGCGTGCTGACTTTATCCCACATTTTACTATTACCTGCGCGTATAGATAATATAAATGTACAATTTTACTTAGTAGTAATTTGATTTTTATCCCTCACATAAAATGAAAAAGTATTGTTGTGGACATGATTCACAGAACATTGTTTCAAATAGCGGCAGGTTAGAACAATGTTATAAAAACATCGCGTCATAATAAAATTATACAATGTGCAAATGTGTGTAATAATACACAATGTATGTACTGGTTAGTGACTAGTAATGTATACAATTGTTATTAAAATATACGGCGATTGGATAAAATTGTGTGGTGAATTAATATACCCACGTATGATATATTATTATCATTCACATCTTCACAATGTATACACGTTACATCTTAATTTAAAATTCGATATCTTGTCATGATTTAGGTTATTGTCTATGAGGGGAAACACTCCAAAATACATAAAGCTTAGTTTGCCCATATACGTTTTTTTCTTGTCACAAATACTGCTTTCTTGTTTCTGAAAAATTTCTGTTCAAATGTTGTTTCAATATTTCTACAAGCTTCCTCGTACCTAGTTCTTTGAGGTTGGGAGTAGCTACGCCAAACAGCCAAAGTCCTTAAATTTTAACCAAAATTTGATTTCAGATTCAGGTGTGTCTGTATGTTTCAATGGTAAAGAACTTAAGCACCACAAATCGTGCTGCACGAAAGCTACAGAGGAGAAATATGTGAAGGCTGCAGAGAGATATTTAAAAGACAGTCTCCGATCAACCAATGCATATTTGAAGAAGCTGGTGATGGAGAGTTTGGCACGGTTTCAAGGTAAGATGGTGTAAACACATACTTTCACCTTTAGCACCCATATCTGGATATTTTTTAAAATACAATTTAGAAAATGGCACCTGGTTGTATTTTTAAAAAATGAAGTCAGAATGGAAAGACATTTGAAACAAGTACCTTCACCTGTCTGTTTTGTTAATGCTATTAGTATCAACACTTGCTGTTTCAGCATATATCACGGGGGCTCAGGCAATGCAGTATTTTGTCATTTTGGGGTTGAGATTCTTGGATAGAATTATTTTTGCTGTTGTTGTGAAGACACATTAAATGTAACTTACTGTACAGCCTGGCTATCTGTAACAACCACTGCCCAGAGTGGTCATCGTTCACAATATTAACATTGGCATCTTCACTTATTTTTGCTTATGTCAGCTTGTTTTGACAACGATGAGGATTGGCTGAATAGAGCTCCTAAGCTAGAACTAGTCTTTGGTATCAAGGTAAAACAGGAGATGACCAAATATTGAATAGAGACAGATTTGCGTCTGTAAACAAGCAATGTTTGTGCTAAGAAGGCCTCATATCCCCAGGGCTATCAATGGCCTTGTTGAAAGTTGCAACTTTGCTAACAAAATTACGCCCTGCCTTTTCCTACTCTGTGGTTTACCAGCCTTGTTGTGATGAATGCTGACTGTTGATCTTAGAGATTTTTTGATAAAATGATTTGTGTAGTCATTTTGTTTGAAGGGCATTGGATTGCTTTTGAAATGAATTACAATTTGCTTGGGCAAAACGTATAAACACAGTTGTTCATTTCAGGTCATGTCAATAGTGACATTACATGTCGACACGTGTGTAGTGTGGCAGTTCCACGGTCTATAGTGTACAGAGTCTTGTCATTACTGGTATTCTGTCATCCAATCTTGGCCAACTTAAAAAATTGTCAATAATTCTAAAAGGTATTGACTGGAAAGTGTTTGGCATGGATTTAAGAGATCCTTTATTGGATGCACAGACAGAAGTGTAACTAAAGTTGTTAATCTAATTTTTGAATGAGACATTGACAATCAAACATGTGTGACCGATATGTACAACACTCCATAAAGTGTTGATTTCAATTGTCCCGCATCAATAGTCGCGGCCACAGCTTTATGCCATTGTATGATAAGTTATCGATCTCACGACAGCTGTTGTCAAATGTCTATATGACGGTTTAGGTTGCATTTACACAGTAATTCTTCCTTGACATTGAAGCTCTCATACGACCATCACCAGTGTGCCACATTGCTTTTTGTGCTGCATGTATCACGTCCGACATTTCCACCTAGCTGACACTAAATGGTCCAATAACTTATTCAATGATGCCTTCGTCTGTTTCAAGAGAATATGGTATATTTCACTACTTGTATTAATAGTGTACACTGAGTTGAAGGATGTGAGGGTTTATGTTTCAAAGTCACATTAAGAGCATTAGAAATCATCAATTATGAATCTGACTATGTCAGCCTAACAAGGGTGTTAAAGTGTGGAATATTCCAGTTTGATTAATGAACGCGGAGGATGATCAGCAGGAGAACACCAGGAAGTGACTGTTTGTTTCCCATGTTGTAGTGAACAGCACTCTGGCGTCACCCAGTCCAAGCTGTGGAATGATAATCCCAGTAAAGTGAAAGTAGAAACTACTCATATGATTTTAAATAACAATTAACATTGACAGCGACAGAAAGGGTTTGTCAATAGTGAACAGCTCAGAACCTTGTAGCACTGATATTGACATCAGTGTTGTGGGATTGCACCTGATTTTATGGTGCTCGTCATCACCAATCCTACCTGTTGTAGAAGCTCCCCCCCCACCGATCACCTGACTCATAGCACTGCTGACTGATCTGTAGTGTATCAGTATTGATTGTAGGTACGGCACTGATAGTGCAGGTTGCAGCCAGTAAGTGTGTGGGAACCAACATCCCCATCAGTTGTACCAAGTACACCTGAACACAGCCAAACCCTCGTCAGTTTATACCGAGTACACCTGAACACAACCAAACCCTCGTCACTTCGTACCGAGTACACCTGAACACAACCAAACCATTGTCACTTTGTACCGAGTACACCTGAACACAACAAACCCTCGTCACTTTGTACTGAGTACACCTGAGCACAACCAAACCCCCGTCACTTCGTACCGAGTACACCTGAGCACAACCAAACCCTCGTCACTTCATACCGAGTACACCTGAGCACATTCAAACCCTCGTCACTTCATACTGAGTACACCTGAGCACAACCAAACCATCGTCAGCTCATACCGAGTACACCTGAACACAACCAAACCCTCGTAAATTCGTACACCGAGTACACCTGAACACACCCAACACCCTCGTCAGTTCATACCGAGTACACCTGAACACACCCAACATCCCCGTCAGTTCATACCAAGTACACCTGAACACACCCAACATCCCCGTCAGTTCATACCGAGTACACCTTAACACACCCAACATCCCCGTCAGTTCATACCGAGTACACCTTAACACACCCAACATCCCCGTCAGTTCATACCGAGTACACCTTAACACACCCAACATCCCCGTCAGTTCATACCGAGTACACCTTAACACACCCAACACCTGAACACAACCTCGCCAGTTCATACCGAGTACACCTTAACACAACCAACCCTCATCAGCTGACTGTCTCCTGTAAGTGTGTATTTCACGTAGGTTCCATTTAGATTTCATGTATTGATTGAAGGGATAGGTCCGGGAAGCTAGTTTTGTGATGGAATGTGTTGATGGGCATGTTCTTTGTCCAGTTCTTCTCTATAAACCCGTCAAGTAGCACTGAGCTCGCGGGAAATGTTTTGTATGTAGCAGAGCATGTATTTCCCATCATCCTGCTGTTCCAGTGGCACTAGTCCAACCAGGACGAGTTAAGAGGGGACTGACTTGTCTCTCTAACAGGATTTGCAAAGGCAACCCTGCCTTTGTCGATTACATTCATGTAGTATTTTTAGATCGGTGAACTTTTGAAATTTACCCTGATATGAATGCGTCACGTTTTTGTGGAGTTGTGTTTGCACAAGTGTACTTTGATGTGTTGCAACACTGACCAATTATGCCCCATTTGCTCCTGCTGTCTTCTCAGGAGGCTGTTTACCTACATGGCAGTTCCATGCCCGTGGCTTGTTGCCCCTCTGTTGTCCGTGTGTATAGAACAAGTGATACGTGCTGTATGCCTGTTTGCATCCATCTCTCACGCTCCTAGGACCGCAACTCTCAAGTGATAAACACTCGATGACCAGTGGTCAGCCAAGCTTTCAGGCTCTTGTGGTTGGTAGTGATACGCTTGCTCTTTCACTGACTATAGTGGTCGGTACAGCCACAGGGGATCTCTCACTGGCTATAGTGGTCGGTACAGTCACAGGGTCTCTCACTGGCTATAGTGGTCCGTACAGTCACAGGGTCTCTCACTGGCTATGGTGGTCGGTACAGTCACAGGATCTCTCACTGGCTATAGTGGTCGGTACAGTCACAGGGTCTCTCACTGGCTATAGTGGTGGGGGTACAGTCACAGGGTCTCTCACTGGCTATAGTGGTGGGGTACAGTCATGGGGTCTCTCACTGACTATAGTGGTCGGTACAGTCACAGGATCTCTCACTGGCTATGGTGGTCGGTACAGTCACAGGATCTCTCACTGGCTAAAGTGGTCGGTACAGCCACAGGGTCTCTCACTGGCTATAGTGGTCGGTACAGTCACAGGGGATCTCTCACTGGCTATGGTGGTCGGTACAGTCACAGGGGGTCTCTCACTGGCTATAGTGGTCGGTACAGTCACAGGGTCTCTCACTGGCTATAGTGGTGGGTACAGTCACAGGGTCTCTCACTGGCTATAGTGGTGCTCACAGGTACAGTCACAGGGATCTCTCTCACTGGCTATAGTGGTCGGTACAGTCACAGGGGATCTCTCACTGGCTATGGTGGTCGGTACAGTCACAGGGGATCTCTCACTGGCTATAGTGGTCGGTACAGTCACAGGGGATCTCTCACTGGCTATGGTGGTCGGTACAGTCACAGGGGATCTGTCACTGGCTATAGTGGTCGGTACAGCCACAGGGTCTCTCACTGGCTATAGTGGTCGGTACAGTCACAGGGTCTCTCACTGGCTATAGTGGTCGGTACAGTCACAGGGTCTCTCACTGGCTATAGTGGTCGGTACAGTCACAGGGTCTCTCACTGGCTATAGTGGTCGGTACAGTCACAGGGGTTCTCTTCCTGGCTCTAGTGGTCGGTACAGTCACAGGGTCTCTCACTGGCTATAGTGGTCGGTACAGTCACAGGGGATCTCTCACTGGCTATAGTGGTCGGTACAATCACAGGGGATCTCTCACTGGCTATAGTGGTCGGTACAGTCACAGGGTCTCTCACTGGCTATGGTGGTCGGTACAATCACAGGGGATCTCTCACTGACTATAGTGGTCGGTACAGTCACAGGGGATCTCTCACTGGCTATGGTGGTCGATACAGTCACAGGGGATCTCTCACTGACTATAGTGGTCGGTACAGTCACAGGGGATCTCTCACTGGCTATAGTGGTCGGTACAATCACAGGGGGTCTCTCACTGGCTATGGTGGTCGGTACAATCACAGGGGATCTCACTGGCTATAGTGGTCGGTACAGTCACAGGGGGTCTCTCACTGGCTATGGTGGTCGGTACAGTCACAGGGGATCTCTCACTGGCTATAGTGGTCGGTACAGTCACAGGGTCTCTCACTGGCTATAGTGGTCGGTACAGTCACAGGGGATCTCTCACTGGCTATAGTGGTCGGTACAGTCACAGGGGATCTCTCACTGGCTATAGTGGTCGGTACAGTCACAGGGGGGATCTCTCACTGGCTATGGTGGTCGGTACAGTCACACTGTCTGGGGATCTCTCACTGGCTATAGTGGTCGGTACAGTCACAGGGATCTCTCACTGACTATAGTGGTCGGTACAGTCACAGGGGATCTCTCACTGGCTATGGTGGTCGGTACAGTCACAGGG